GGGTTCGGCTTGAGCGCTGAGGATGCGAGGGGGGGTTTCCCGGGCTTTGACAGGCCTGTACGGTAAAAGATTGGGGCATTTTACCGTCGGTCCTGCTGGCACAACGTGATATAGGCATAAAGGGCGAGGTCCCATATATCGGCCAGAGGTTCTGTTACCCTGGATAGATAGATAGATGGATAGATAGATAGATTGCTTTTGTGGTGATTAGTCATAGGTTCGCTTAGAGACAGATGGAGGAGACGGTTGGTATGGGGTAACTTGCGACGGTGTGAGACATTGTGCTAGTATGAGGAGCGCGGTAGCTAGGTACCTGGGGGGCAAGCTTTCCAGAGTGCGAATGTTGAAGGTAGATAGAGGGGTAAGGGATCGGGATTGATTAAGCCAAGAGTTGTACAAGGAAGGCGCAGAGGGCGGATTTATAAACAATGGTCCAAGTCTTCAAGTTGCATGTATTTCTTGCACATGTTAGGAGTGTTGCGATAGTACCTTCATCAGGTCAGATGTGACCAAAATTGCAACATAATCATGCTGCTACCATTCCAACTTTGCTCGCGCCCAAAGATTTGCCTAATCCAAGACGTAAAGCCGGCCCGTTACCCTTTCCAGTGGTCATCCTCAACCGCTTCCTCCTCGCTTCACCGCCTCTCTCCTCGCCTTGTGAAGCCTTCTCGTCCACCCAGGCAATCTTTTCGATACGGTAGCTCAAACCATCGTGGTCATTACCCCATGGTCGAGACCTGATACCATGGCTTATGTGCGAGGCGTAATTTTCGAGGGTCGGTAGGATGAGTATTGTCAGATGGAGGTCTTTTCTAGCCGGCGGAAGCAATGGCGAGGAGGGCAGAGTGGTATATTCCGTCTGCTTAGTATCCGTTGTGCCATTGACAGTATTCAATTCAAGCATGGAAACGTCGATAGAGTCGCCCCAGTCACCTCGTATCCAGCCGGCATGGACTGCAGCAGCCAAAGGATCGGTATCATCTGAATATACGTCCGTACCCCAGACAGCACGGCGGAGGCAGACCTGCTCCCGTTCCTCTTTGGACAGGTAGAATCGGGGAATACGGATTGTCATGGTGCAGTTTTCCTTGCCGTCGCAGCGCGGGATGGTAAAAGGCGAGGATGTGTACATGAGTTTGGAATCGAGAGACACCATTGAAGTGGGGGGTTCAATAGTTGGAGAGTAGAGGATCGAGCCAAGGTGTTGTCTCGGGAGGTTGCGGACCTTGTCGAGTATTTCATCGTTTTTGATAGTCGCGGAGGGCATGCGAGGAGCAGTCTTATGTTGTATAATGGGCACTTTCGAGTGGTTGTGGTAGTGGATGGTTCCATCAGGATGATGGTGGTGATGGTGGTGATGGTGATGAGAAACTGGGGTTGCTGAGTTGCCGGGATCGCGCATTGTCGAGCCATTTAGTCCGTCTTGGCGGTGATGATGATGGCTGGAAGGGTTAGCTGATTTCTCTGAGCTGATCACAGAGAAGACTCACTGATGACCGTGTTCATGATCATGGTGATGGTGATGATGAGCACTTTTCCTCTTGATGCCCCTTGTTCCCGATGGACCAGTTGTGCTCCGGCCATCGGCGACCTCGGTCTCCTTTAAATCATCGTCCTTAACTTTCTTACTGGCTCTCTTACCTATCTTCGAGCCATTACGAGCTCTCGCAAATTCAACCAGCTCACCCCGGCCATTGAAAGGTGGCCTACGCTCAGGTTCTGTACTCGGCTTGGGGCTCGGCGGAGGAAATGGAGTCGATGCGCCGCTGTTCATGCCTGTGCTACTGACTCCAGTCCCAAGACCAGCAAACATCCTTGAGAACTCATTCTTGATGGTCGGATCGGTGGACGGTCCACGCTTCTGGACCTGTGCCCCTTGAACAGCTTGAGGAATTGGCGAGGTACGGCCCAGACGCTTGTTCTCGATCATAGAAAGCATACTTCTATGATTTTGGCCGGCGTCTTCTCCAACCCTGGTTTGGCGGCCAGGCCCGTCAGTGCTAGCAGGACCATCTGTAGCTGAAGTGGAGAGCATAACATTATGTGGATACGCTTGCGATTGTCGCTCATCAACGGTATCCGGAAATCGAGGTCGTGAGGCTGATGGAGAGTAACTCGTGGTTTGCTGATTCAATCTTTGACGCTCTTCACGCAGACGCCGGAGAGAATCCTCTGAATATGGCCCTTTGGGAGTACTTGATTTAGACTGTGTGTCACTGACGAGGCGATTGGCATACGATTCTAATTCCGGCTGAGGAGCGCTGGCGCTTGGTTCTGAGAAGACGGAAGACTGAGTCAAGAAAGGATAATTCAGTCCACTGATGCGCTCTTCCTTGCTACTACCGTGAGTCGCAGATTGAGCTTCCTGTTCCAAGCGTCGTTGTCGCTCGAGCTGCTCTTGCCGGCTAAGATAGTCGAAGGACGAGACGCGATCACGATTTGCATATCGCAATGCCTCATCTCTTGCTTTGTTGTCTTCCTCCTGTTTCGCTTGTGCTTGTCTGTGTGCTTCCAACTCTGCCATTGCTCTATCACTCTCGAAGGGTAATATGCTATAGCCATTCGGCTGACTATTTGGCCTGTTTTGAAGTCGCCCCGTGATCGAATTTCTGTTTTGTTGTCTCCACTCTTGCATGATACCGTTTTCGGAAGTGGGGGAGTATTTTGAGGTCGCTGTTGCAGACAATGGCCCCTGTCTAGCGCCATCTGGTGAAGTCGCTTTGACTGTGGCGTAGGATCGCTGGGGGGTTCCTCCTGAATAGGCGCGAAACGGGCGATTTCCAGGGTCTTGAGAGACGTGGTGTTTGTCTGGGGAGCCTCGATGCAGAAAAACATTGCTGTTGCTTGATCTTGTTGGCGACGGAGTAGGCGCAGCTTGTTGAGCCGAGGAATACGACAATGGGGGAGAAGTGCCGTTCATGAGCGGAGCCACGGCAGGTTCTCGAGTTGCCCGTCCAGGATCGGTACCAAGCATGGATGAGATTGACATGCTGCTGCCCGGACGATTTGTAGTGGATAAAGCCGGTAGTTCTCGCCCCCCTGAGAAAGGAGGAGGCGGAGGGGGAACTCGCGACATTGAAGCCTGCGCATTGTATTGTGGTGAAGGTGGAAGCATGGGGCGTCCACTGAACGGTGGAGGGGGAGGCGGAGGGGGAGGATTATCGTGTCCTATATAATATGTCATGACGGATCAGCAAACAGGCGATGGAAAACTAGAAATGGTTGACAAAGAAGGAGGTACAAAGATAAAGGGGCCTCGTGCGCGGTCTATCAAGGAACAACTTATGCGCCACGACATGCACTTACCTCCATACATTCTGGGCGAGCTAGTCCGGTGCTCTGGCTGACGAACAGCGTCCCTTTGAGTGGAGGGATCTTGTAGAGACGAAGCGAAGGTTGCTGAAGGCGGTGGAGGGGGCAAGCTCGATCCTGGGTAATCTGGCGTTAGCAAAGCTGTCCCTCGGTATCTTAGAGTTTAGCTCCCGCGCTTTATGCAGCAGGGGCCGGCGCTCGGATCCGAGCTGTGGGGAAAAACAAAACAATGCCATAGCTGTCCAGAACACCATGTCGAGTTCAAACAGATATGTAAAACAGCATAGAACTCTAGCAGATAGAAAGAATGGAGGCGTACAAGACGTATCTAAGAAAAAGGTCATCGAGATTTCCAACAATATAGATAGAACGCATCCCACCACAAGGAGAGGCTCTCCGGGCGCAAGCTGGAGATATGCCCGTCATGCAGTCCATGCAGCGGGATCAATGAGATCAGAAGCTTGATCCAAGACGCACAGACATACTAATTTCGAGAACAAAACGGCGGCACTTTTGATCCCACTGAGCGCAAAGCGGTACTTGAGGAGTAAGAGACATGGGTACCCAGAAATATTAGGGACGCCGACCAGTTCGGCGTTCAGTATGCAGCAGAGTAGAAAACGAAATTCAAGCGCATCAGCGTGAGAGAAAAGTTGAGGCTTACTCTCGCTAGCATGATGCCTATATCTATCCGCCCTTCCATCTCCTACCCGTGGCACCCACGACCCACTATGATTATTCTCCTGTGGTCTATCTCGTATCTCCATCGCCATACCCAACGCGTCACGTGGCAAGCCTGCAGCGTACGAGCCGATAGTAAATGGTCCTTGTGACAGCGACTTTGGCGGCTCTGGTCGAGATTCGTCGCGCTCATTTCTGCGCGGAAGGAAGGGGTCGTTGTTCAGACTTGGCTGCAGGCGGTGTGCAGGCGCTTGTAGAGTGTAGGGAGGAGGAGGTATGGGAGCTTGTCGTGGATCGCGCGCGCTCGACTGGGACAGAGGTCGAGCGAAAGGATTTTGTAGGTTGTTTCGAGGATCCATCTTTCCCTTTCACAGTTCCAATGGTGTGGGCGGGTTTAATACTGTCGCTCGGGATTTTATTGGGTATGATGTATTTGTAAAGATAATCCCAGGAGTGGTTGGCTATAGCATATCTCTTGTTCTTCGAGTCAGAGGGAGCAAATTGTGGTGGTGGGTGTGTCGTGTTGTGTTGTGAAGAGGAAGGGGAAAGGAGGTGTAGTACGGTAGGTTGGCAAAGCAGCAATGATGATAAGTAAAGTAAAGTAAAGTTGCAGCCATGTCTTATTCTTATTCTTATAATTAATTAAAGTACTTTAGCTAACTTTTACTTTTACTTACTTTTTAGTCTTCAAGCGCCAAATCGAATGGAGCGTGACGGCTTCCGTAAAGGTTAAAATCTTACCCCTGCTGCATCGTCACTTCCCGTCCAATCCCTGCATATGCAGATTATGCAGATTATGCACATTCAATTAATTCATTCATTCCATTCCATTCCATTCATTATCAAGTGAATCGCATCAACATTTTCGCGCAAACAAACATTTCCAACCTCTTGCGTGCCAGAGGGAAAGGTGTACGGAAGAGAAGACTTTTGGTCGAGCCGAGCACTGCTCATTCGCAGAATCCTACCTTACCTTACGTATGACGATTAATGGCGCGTGCCCAATGAATCCAGCACCCATCCCTCAGGAGATGGGCGGCTTTACCGAGGGCGGTCTCACCCATCAGGAATGGTAACATGTTACCTCTGCCTGGATCCCCAGCATCTTCTTGGGCCATGTACAGAGCCCGACTCGCAGCTATTTTTAGGGGGGCGGAACCCCGAGTCTGTTCAGCATTTTGGCTCTTTGGTAAATCCAGCTCCAACGTTCCCTCAAGGGTAGGAAGGCATATGAAATCTGACATTCGTGCCCTAGGTCTCATCAACAATGTCCTCTATGTCATCATCCTCTCCGCCGCCCTTGATCTCGTCGGTCCGTCGGTACCCAAGGCGGTTGTCCTCCTGTGCGATGTCATACCCTCCTTCCTCATGAAGCTATGCGCGCCCTACTTCATCCACGCAATATCATACCCCATTCGAGTCCTCCTCTTTTCCGTGTTTTCTGCCGTTGGCATGCTTCTGATAGCGCTTACACCACCATACACCGATGGAGGAACCATAACAACAAAGATGGCCGGGGTCGTGCTGGCTTCGATGAGCAGTGGTGGGGGCGAACTGAGCTTCATAAGTCTGACGCACTTCTACGGCCCCTTCAGTCTCGCCTCTTGGGGGAGCGGTACCGGTGGTGCTGGGCTCATTGGTGCTGGGGCATATGCCTTAGCCACCACAACCTTGGGCCTAAGTAGCAAGCATACAATCTTTGCGTCGGCCTTTCTCCCGCTCATCATGCTCGTCAGCTTCTTCATTATCCTTCCGAGGGAGCCATTGATCCGGCAAGCAGCCACAGTTTCGAGTAGATCGGAACTTCCACATGCCACTGGAGATGAAGACGACGAAGGTTCGGATCCTCGCGAGACTCAGGAAGATGAGGGGTTGCTCCCACAATCGTCAAATTTGACCGGCGCAAACTCATTGAGAATGTCCAAAAACCAGTCATGGGGAGCAGCATTTCTCCAAAATCTGCGGCGCTCGCGCTCTTTGTTCTTTCCGTAGTACGGCCCCCCTCCCCTTTAACGTTCTAATTCCGTCACTGACATCCCACAGTATGCTGCCACTCCTCCTGGTCTACATCGCCGAATATACCATAAATCAAGGGGTTGCACCCACCCTTCTATTCCCTCTGAAAGACAGTCCGTTCAGACACTACCGTGCCTTCTATCCAACCTACAACGCTATATACCGTAAGTACAGTTCGGAGCTGATTCTTCCTATTCCATAATGAACTTTGAGTCGCAAGACATCTTTCGGGAGCAAGAAGACCTTTCTACTCCCCAGACCTCTCTTGCAACTCCATTTCCTACCTCGAATAAACAACGCTGACTCCGAAATCTGCCTAGAATCCGGCGTCTTCATCTCTCGTTCCTCAACCCCTTTCCTTCGCATACACAATCTCTACCTACCATCCCTACTGCAGTGCCTAAACCTAGCGATTTTAATACTGCAAGCATTGTTCGGCTTCATACCCACTGTTTGGATTGTTTTCGCAATCGTGTTCTGGGAGGGTCTGCTTGGTGGCGCGGTTTATGTAAACACGTTTGCTGAGATCAGCGATCGAGTCGCTAAAGACGAGCGGGAGTTCTCTTTAGGTGCAGTCACGGTTAGTGATAGCGGTGGGGTTTGTATAGCGGGCTTCATCGGCATGGCTTTGGAGGTGGGATTGTGCAGATGGCAGGTCAGCCATGGGAAGGATTGGTGTCAGCAACTTTGACATATGTGAGGGTATACTGCAATATATATACAATCGAATCTATCCAATCATCATATCGTCATCGTTGAAACCCGTGATCTTCATCGCTCTTTAGGCGCCATTTCTTGCTGTCCTTTCGTTCCCTCCACCTGTTCTTTCGAGCTCAACGCAACCTCCATCGCCTGCTCTAACTTTGCCAGCCCCTCTTCAATCTCCTCCTCACTGATGATCAGCGGCGGCACAAACCTTAGCGTATTGGTTCCGCAAGTGATGATCAGCAAACCCCTCTCCCTCGCCGCCGTCACAATAGGCGTCGGATCCTGCGTCAGCTGCAAGCCTAGAATCAACCCTCGGCCTCTGACCTCTTTGATAACCTCTGGAAAGCGCTTTCGTAACCTCTCAAACCCCTTCCGGAAAATCTTCTCCTTTTCCATAACGCCCTGCTGCAGCTCTGGGTCTGACAATCTAGAGAAGATATAATGGGCCAATCGACAAGCCAACGGGTTCCCACCGAACGTCGTGCCGTGGTCGCCGGTCACCACGCACTCTGCCACTTTCTCCGTGACCATTGTTGCCCCTATTGGGAATCCATTCCCCAGTGCCTTTGCTGTAGTGAGGATATCAGGATGTGCAGATTCGGGAAGGTTCTGGTGTGCCCACAATTGCCCTGTGCGCGAGAGACCGCATTGGATCTCGTCGTAGATCAGTACGGCGCCTACTTCGTTGCAGCGATCGCGTAGTGCTTGGAGGAATGAGGGCGTGGCTACGTTGACCCCGCCTTCGCCTTGGATGGGCTCGACGATTACCCCGCAGGTCTTTTCGGTAACGAGGTCTTTGATGCCGGCTTCGTCGTTGTAGGTACCGTAGACGAAGCCTGGGATCATTGGGCCAAAGGGTTTCTGGTACTTTGGGTTGGGGGTCGCGGACAAGCTACCCATTGTTCGCCCGTGAAAGGAGTTGTTGAAGCTGACGATCTCATGCTGAAAGCCGGAGGGCTGCCGTACCTTTCCCACTTTCCGGGCGAATTTTATAGCAGCTTCATTGGCCTCGGAGCCAGAGTTGCAAATGAAGACTTTGGACGCTTCGCACATGGAGCCCGAAGCGCGTGTCTTCTGAACCATGACTTGGGAGAGGGCACCGGTCCAGGGGTTATGGTAGAGGTTTGACGTGTGAATGAGCGTCCGTGCTTGCTGTCCGATCAATTTGGCCATCTCGGGATCGCAGTGGCCTAATGCATTAACAGCTATCCCGGCGGTGAAGTCAAGATATTTTCGGTTCTCAATGTCCCAGAGATAGCAGCCTTCGCCTTTGACCATCATGGGTGGAGGGCGGACGTAGGTCGCTACCATGTATTGGGTATGCTCGCTGACGATTGCGGCGGTTTGGGAATCGCCGGGCGGGTCGGGGTTTGGGAGGGAGGCTTCTTTCTGTACGGTTATCAGCTTGTTGGTTCTCGGTGATCTGTGTAACATGAGGCTCACGGAGTAGTCATGTTTCGTTTCTTCCGCCTGACTCTCAGTCGGGACGGCCATGGCGGAGGCATTGCGTCTCGAGAGGACTGGCTCGTGTATAGAGACCCGAGTGACGCCATTGCAGGCTGCTCCTGTTCTTCGAACGGCCAGACGCAATGCCATGACAGAACGAGGTGCATGAATCAAAATATGGGCGGGGCAAAGGAGGGGATGAAAAAAATGAGTCTGAACAAGGTCATAGGGCTGAGAAGGGATTTGCTGTTATCGATAACAGGCGAGCTAGCAGTCTTGGCGCGCTAAGCGTCATTATGCAGAGGATATTTCACCACCCCTCAAATATTCTTTCTTGTCTTGCCACAAACCAAATTGTACTTTGTTTTACTATTCGTACACGACACATTGAAACAAAATCTTGGAACAGAACGCAATGCAGTCGGCTCGTCCACTTGCTTTTCGGTCCCAGCTCACTCGGCGTCTCTTCTCATCCGGCCCTCATCTTCGCGCCGCCGCTCCTTTCGCCTCGGGTCCAGCACCCCCCCGCCTACCCAAAGAGGATCAGGAGCTGTACGAGCAACTACAACGCTCTTCGACGGGAGCATTCAGCACACCGAAGCCAACAGTCGTCATCAATCAATCCACAGCTGCCACTTCAGATCCTCCCAAACGATCGAGGCCGCAGATAAATCAGTCGCCGCATACCGAACCAGCTGCAGAACCCTCGACGGAGCAGAAGCTTGAGAATATCAATGCGAAGGTAGAGGCAAGGGGTAATGGGGAAGAGCTGCACCCAGATGTGAGAAGAGGCGTTCTGCCCGAGTTCGAGGGAGAGAGGAATCCAAAGACTGGTGAAACAGGAGGACCGAAGAACGAGCCACTGAGGTGGGGTGGAGGGGTAGATTGGAGTTATAATGGCAGAGTTACAGACTTCTGAGTCAGAACTGTTCTGCCGGTCACGGCGTTTGGCATCATGGTTCTATAGGTTCAGCGAGTTTACTGAGCAGAGAGTCGCGTTGGGCATACGGGAGCGTTTGTTTGGCAAAGCTTTTGTTCTACGATCATCAGCTTTGATATAGTACCTCACGTTCAGCAGGCCAAAGCTTGAAAATCGTTTCACAGTGTTAGCTGCGATATCATAACTGTATCAGTGCGATTTGCCATAGAATGAACCGTCAATGGCTCGTAGAAAAGTGGCGAAAATTGATGGTGCATTTGCGGACGGATAAATTTTGATATGAGTCATTCTTACTCGGATTCAACAATCAACAACGAATTGCTCCCCATGTTACCGTTGCTCATAGATTCTGCATTTCCTACCCAACGCCATGGAGCACATCAAAGAGATATTCGCGCAATGCAAGAGGGAAAAGCGCTCCGCACTGGTCACATACGTGACCGCAGGTTATCCCACCGCAGATGAAACGGTAGACATACTACTGGGAATGGAGGCAGGCGGCGCTGGTAGGTACCAGCACGCAGGAAGGATGACCAACTGCTAAGCCTACTGCAGACCTCATCGAACTCGGTCTCCCTTTCACAGACCCAATTGCAGATGGTCCTACAATACAAAAGTCAAATACTCAGGCATTGAAGAATGGCATTACGGTCGAGTCGACGCTGGAGACAGTACGGAAAGCGAGAAGAAAGGGTTTACGGGTACCGGTTTTGTTTATGGGCTATTACAATCCTTTACTGAGCTATGGAGAGGAGCGATTACTGAAGGATGCGAAAGAGGCCGGGGTCAATGGCTTTATCGTGGTCGACTTGCCACCGGAGGAGGCTGTCAGGTTCAGGAACTTCTGCACCGAGGGGGGGTGAGTCCTGAGTTCCATTGCTTGAAACAGGGTCGTACTCATATGGGTGACTCTTAGTCTATCATACATACCGCTCATTGCACCAGCAACCTCGGAAGGGCGCATGAAGCTACTATGCAAGATCGCAGACTCCTTCATATACGTCGTCTCACGAATGGGTGTGACTGGTGCAACAGGCAAACTTAGCACAGGCATTGAAGAGCTTGTTGATCGTGTTCACAGATACTCGAATAATGTACCAGCGGCCGTTGGATTCGGTGTCAGCACAAGACAGCACTTCCTGGACGTGGGAGCAGTAGCTGAGGGTGTGGTTATAGGGAGTCAGATTGTTACGACATTAGCCAATGCTCCTGCTGGTCAGGGTGCTCAAAAGGTGGAGGAATACTGTTCTGAGATCACTGGTCGAAAAGTCGGGAAGCATACGGTTACGAATGGAGTCAAAAGGACAATGGAGAAGGAAAAACCATACGCCAATGGAAACCAGAAGATGGAAAATGGCCACGGGGACAACGAGGAGCCAGTACATGTAGACGAGGTTATCAAGCCAGGACAGAACGGTAGCGGACCCGGCTTGGTAACCCAACTCGAAACCCTCAACACAGATGGCGGCGACAATGCAGCCATTCCATCACGGTTTGGCGAGTTTGGCGGCCAGTATGTGCCCGAGTCGCTCATGGACTGCCTAGCGGAACTCGAGGAAGGCTTCAACAAAGCCAGAGATGATCCTAAATTCTGGGAAGAATATCGCTCATACTATCCATACATTGGGCGACCTGGCCAGCTCCACCTCGCCGAGAGACTGACAGCCCATGCGGGCGGTGCAAATATCTGGCTCAAACGAGAAGATCTGAACCACACTGGAAGTCACAAGATCAATAACGCACTAGGCCAGATTCTGGTTGCCAAAAGACTCGGCAAGACCGAAATCATTGCGGAGACAGGAGCTGGTCAACATGGAGTTGCGACGGCAACTGTATGTGCTAAGTTCGGCATGAAATGCACCATCTTTATGGGTGCAGAAGATGTCCGCAGGCAGGCACTAAATGTGTTTCGCATAAAATTACTCGGCGCCAAGGTGGTGGCGGTCGAAGCTGGGGCCATGACGCTCCGCGATGCAGTCAATGAAGCAATGCGAGCGTGGGTTGTCGATCTATCAACGACTCACTACATCATCGGCTCGGCCATTGGACCTCACCCTTTCCCTACCATCGTTCGCACGTTCCAATCGGTCATCGGTGACGAGACGAAAGAACAGATGCAGAAACTGAAAGGGAAGCTTCCAGACGCCGTTGTCGCATGTGTAGGCGGTGGAAGTAATGCAGCGGGCATGTTCTACCCCTTCGCAAATGACCCAAGTGTCAAGCTCCTCGGCGTCGAAGCCGGAGGAGACGGGCTGGACACGGAGAGGCATAGCGCTACCTTGACGGGAGGCAGCAAGGGTGTCTTACATGGCGTGCGAACCTACGTTCTACAAAACAAACACGGCCAAATCTCAGAGACCCATTCCGTCTCCGCTGGCCTCGACTACCCCGGCGTCGGCCCCGAATTGAGTTCCTGGAAAGACAACGAACGGGCGAAATTCATCGCCGCTACTGACGCCGAGGCTTTTGTAGGGTTCAAACTCTTGTCGGAGCTTGAAGGCATCATCCCGGCTCTGGAAACAGCACATGCGATCTGGGGTGGTGTGCAATTGGCGAAGGAGATGGGCAAGGGGAAGGATATCGTGATTTGTTTGAGTGGGAGGGGCGATAAGGACGTGCAGAGTGTGGCGGATGAACTGCCGAAGATTGGGCCCGTCATTGGCTGGGATTTGAGATGTGAGTGTTTTCTCTTCTCCCCTCCTCCCAACGTCGCTCGTGGGATCCTGGAGCATGGCTAACGTGTGCCAGTTTGAGCGTGAGTGGCCGTCCTTGTGACCGTAGGGGTTAGTGACTGCATCGTTTCACCTTCACAAAAAAGCAGAGCGAGGGCGAGGGCGATATTGGAGGCCTTTTCATCTTAGAAAAAATAGAACATCGCTACAATCCAACCATGACGTACATTCCCAACATCTTCTGCCCCTTAAAGAACCTGCCTCGATCCCTGGAGGCACACCAAAGCGCCACTTGGTCTCCGGTCAAAAATCCAACAGAGCAGCTCGATCTGTACTTATGGCAGTAACACACAGGAAGGAAAGACCAGTGAACCTTTCTGTCCTGTCCTGTCTACCACGCCCAACACGCCCAACTCGCTTTGAAAGGAAAAACGTAGACTCCGATGGATTGGGGAATGCGGCGCCGAGGGCCGTGCTGATCGCGCGCGGCAATGGGTCTCGTGAAGATTGTTCACGTCGCTCGTTTTGTGAAGAGGGGAGATTTGTCCATTCACGGATCGTTGGCAGGGTGGGTGGGGAAGGCGAGGGAGGGAGGGAGGGATTTGGGCTGTTGATGTGCTTGCTCACTGCGAGGTTTGTGTGGAATTTTTGCTGTGTTTGTGTTGGAGAGATAAAAGGGTACTTCGGTTCGTTTTTTTTGTGTTTCTACGATTCTGCGTAGGTAAAGTGTTGGCGTTGGTATGTTGTATACGGATGAGTGTTTGGTGTAACAACCCACCCTCCCCCCTCCCCCTTCCAGGCGAGTTTTGAGACCCGCACGATTTCGTTTTCTTCTCCGTCCCTTTTCCGTGCTGTGTGGTGGCTTCTTGTACGGGTGTGGTAGCTTCCGTTCAAGCCTCAGATTGGACAGTGCTGTCGCAAGTCCGCGTTACCGTGTGCAAAGAGTGTACGTCCGATTCCCTGATTCCCTCCCTCCCTCCCTCCTTCCATCTCGGGTCCCCTTGCCTCTCAACGCGCGTTCAATGCCAAGAACGCATTGCGGATCTGCCTCTCGAGCCAACCGTCCGGCGCCACGATCCTGAAATCGGCCGGCATCCCGTGCGCGAACGGTATCAGGCGGCGCACCAGGTAGACCCCCAGATACAGCCCGCCGGGACCGTAGGCCTCGGTGAAGTCGAGGGTCAGGTGCCGGAGGTTGAGCATGGCGACGCGGTCGAATTTGTCCTGCCAGGTGTGGACGAGCTGGCGTTGCGTGTCGTCGCTGCGTTGCGCTTGGGTGGCCACGGGGCCGGAATGGCGGGGGTCGATGGGCGGGGCTGCGGCGCTCTGGTCGGCGAGGGGTTGCCGTCCGGATCGATCGGGCGCGTCGGCGTTGCTGAAGCTGAGCTCCGCGCATCGGATCTGGAGGGCGGCTTTGTTGGGGGTCTGGAGGGAGAACTCGGTGGTGGTCTCGTTGTATGGTTTTTCCGTCATGAACCGCATCGTCTTGTTGAGAGGGCCCTTGCTGATGACCCAGGTGTTCTTGGTCCAGTACTGTTCGTGGAATCGGCGATGGAACGCTGTGTCCAAGGCTAGGAAGATGTTCGTGATGGGAGGGTCCTTGTGCGGATGGACCCTTCGGGGCCCAAAGGCTTCGTCGAAAACCATGTCCATGATCATTTGGCAGACTTCTGCGGGTATGCGCAGCATCTGTTCTTGGAATTCGTTGCGCGCTGCAGCAGCGAGGCAGGCATCGTCTCCAGAACCAGCGTTTGATTGCTGGCCCAACGGCCTGTATCCAAGGCCGACAGCCGCTCCGGTTGTTCTGTTTCGAAGGTGGAGCTGGGAACTCGCTACTGCTCTTAACGTTTTGTGTTTGGATTTGGAAGTTGCCCTAGCTGTCCGGTTCGTATGTTCGATGGCGAGGACTTCCGGTGGGTTTATTCTTGAGTCGTGGCTTAACACGTTGTGTTCAAGTCTTGAATGAGCCCCTGGTAAGTTCGTGTCCTCGGGGCAGGTGGAACCACGGCTGAGCTCGCAAAGGCGTCCTGCCGGACGGTCGTTGAGTGTGGCTGTGAGCACTTGTTCTCGTTTTGGTTCCAAGCATGTCCGGTTCTCTGCTCGAGAACCTCGATTCGAGCTGTCAAAGGCCAAAGCCATTTGCCCTTTGTTTTCAAGGGAGTCAATGGAATTGTGGGCGGGGAGAGGCGAAGTCTGCTCCAGAGCAAGTCGATGGACATTTTCATGTATTTCCTTTGAACTTGCCCCACACGGCTGAGACGATGACATTGAGACTAGCGGCCAACGCTGGATACGAGTTTTTGGAAGGTCCAGAGCCCGAATTTGCTGTCACTGCGTGAATGTTCCAAGGGGCTATTTGATGCAAAGATTGAATTGCTTGTTGAGATCGCTGTTACTACACTGGGCTGGCATCAAGCCGGAGCGCGAAGGCTCTGACAACGTTCTGCTTTCCGTGCTGCCCATCAATAGAGCAATTCTTTTTATATTCAATGTCTGAATCTGTGCGTTGTAGCGGTTTGAGTAGTCGAAGGGACTGCCAACCAGGCAAATCACGTCTTATATGAAGAAGGAGTCAAGGATTGTGGAATAATGGGCGTATTACCCTTTGATCCGCGAGCTGAACTCTAAGAACTCGTTAGTGCAAGATTCTCAAGCCATGGTGCGTTCAACATACTCTGAAGAGCATAGCCTTGTACAACACCAAGCGGAATCGATTCGAGAAACATATCCAAACCTTTTCCATCGAGAGAGACTGACCCTTAACCAATCCTGGGTGTTTCGAGAGTTTTTGGATAGTTTCGACGCCTCTGCGGGCGGTTTCTGCATTGTGGAGACAGTCGTAGTGGCAGCGAATCGTCTCATCAAATCAAAAGCTCGTGTTGTAGGAGAAGAGGCTCACGTCGAGGTTGTAGACTGTAGCCACCCTGCTGATCGGTAGCACTCTGCTCGGCTAATTGAATCGGCGAGGTCGTGGGCCTCGCACGAAGTTGGCAATAGAAAGGCTTTAGGTTTGGAGTTCGCCAATAGGGCGGAGGAGTTAACTGAGGCTGCAGCCAGCTCCAGATCCTGGGGACGACATTTTCGAGGCTGCAAGGCTCGGTGATCGGTGAAAGTAAGCCTGCCCGATTGGCCAAATAATTTCGTGGAGCTCGGAGAGGACATGCCCGACGAACGGCAGGAGCTGGTCACCGATACTGCGGAAGCTACTGACCCAGCGATTTTGTTTTTCTTGACGAAATAGGACAAGGCTGCTGCTATCGAAGGGTTTGCTGCGGCTGTGAAGTCGATCCTATGCAGTGATGACCAATTTTCCATCCCGCATTCACTTTGATCCTACTGCTTGACCGTAGATGGGGAAACCACTGGCAGAGCGTTGGGAGACCTCACCGCTGCTTGTATCTCTTCGTGCCTAGCCTGGGCGTGAATTTGGCGTCGATGAAAGCGTTTAGTAATCGGCCAATCGGCCAGCCACACAAACATTGACTAATTCTGGATGCACGACACCGTTCTTCAGATCTGATAGGTAGGGAAAGAATTCCTGAAAGTAGGTACTAGGACCGGGAGGCCTCGATTTCGAATATATGAATCATCATATACATGAGCCCCACGGGATGCCTACTTTTTTCATACATCTTGCTGATGTCATGCATCTTACCTTCAATAGGATAAGTTCTTAAGAAAGAAGAAATGACTTATTGAAACAGCAGCAGTAGATGCAGGGAAGTAGCAGCTAGTAGAAGCCAGGACTGGATGTTGACTTGCCAGACAGCAGTTGCTAACTTGCTATGGTGCTAAGCGAGATGACCGAATTTATGTGTTTGCTTTACTGCCCAACATGATCAGACTTTCTGCATTGCCCTCTTGATCGTTGGCGAGGCGTGGTAAATGTAGGTAGAGCCCTTCTGAAAACATGGCCACCCTGCACTTCGGGTATTAGCGTATGCACAAAACGTTACAATCGTTGGCACTGAGGATTCCCACATACCTAATATGTGCTGGGGCGCGGGGCTACCCAGTAGTGGAAAGCGTGTCGATACCGTGGGAAGAATCCTTCGGAGACTCTCGGAGAGCTCTCCGTGGACTGCTGGCCAAACGGGCTGCCGAAGCAAGCTCGAAACCCTCATATATGATAGCCCAGTCGGCAGCAGTCCTCGGAGAGCTCTCAGAGAGTCCCCAAAGGATCAGAGTGATTCTCAGGGGGAGACCCCCTGAAACCCCCCTAACCCTCCGGGGGCTCTCCGAGGGCTTCTGCCCGAGAGGCTCTTCTCGCAAGCTCGATAGGTAGTTTAAATCTTAATTCCTAGTATATCTTTACGAATACTTCATCAAATTTCGTATAAGCTACATTATTTAAAAGTGTATAATAAACTTTATAACTCTATAGACTTATTTTATTATTATATCTTAGATAAGAGAAAAGGAATTCAAAAATATCGATTTGAAGATTTTGAAGTTCTTTTCCAGCTTCCTATTTGAGACGTACCCGTGTTTAGCTTGAATATCAAGGAATAAGGTAAGTTTTAGCGCTAAACCAGCGAAATTCGAGGATCTGATTAGTCAACCTTAAATCTATAGTTGTCGAACATCTCATGATTTCAGTCTTACAAAGACAAACCGGGAGCCCGCGCGAAAATCTCAAGTCTGCATACCTTATTGCGCATATTGCGCATAAGGCGCAATTGCAGCCCGGGAGCTGCCCGGGAGCTGCACTCGCTATCGGATACATGTATCCGATATCGGGTATATCTCGTCACCAAAAATTTTTAAACTTCATAACCGGCACCTTAACGGGAGGCCTTTAGGGAGGTATTCGGACATGATTTCAATTAGGGAAGACTTTTTAACCGGTAGCTCCCGTGGTTGAGTGGGAATTAGCACCACGCTAGTCTCACGGCCAGCAACGCCAGCCTGATTTCGAGCCCGGAATTATTCGATTTATCTAATTTTCTTGCGGGGGTGTCGTCAGTAGCGATCTTTTTGGCTTTTTTGGTTTTTTGCGCTTTTAGCAAGTTAAGGTGTCGAATTGTACCCCCGAGCATTTATTTGCGCAAAATGCGCAGATAGAT